GTACAATCAGATATGCATATCTTCAATATATATCGGTACCTATATAACTATATACAAACAGATAGCAGATATATATATATATATATATATATATATATATATATATATATATATATATATTATATATCTATATATATATATATATATATATATATATATATATATATATATATATATATATTATAAATCTATATATATATATATATATATATATATATATATATTAAATATGTATCTATTTCAAAGAATGTCAAGCGTTCGTCGATGATATTAGAGCGATATGCTTCTTTAACACATGATACCAATTTGTATATATCTGGGTGTGTCATCCCTAATGGTTCAAATCCAAAGATGCACTATGTATACAATATACACACTTGTACGTATGAATATGTACGATAAATACACATATATACAATACGGCATAGCCTCCTAAATTGAGAACAAATATAGAGCTTAACTTTGCGAGTCTTTTATTTACACATATTTATTTATTAATGCAGTAGGGACCGTCTTCTAAGTGTAGATATGGTCACATCTTGTGGCCAAAGTATCGCCCGTATGTTACAATTTGTTGCATGAAGGCTCGTGTGTGTATCACATCGCTGCATACATATGTACACGAGGATACAGACTGTATCCATTCACGTACCAATTCATTACCTGCTTTATACAGTTATGTTATGTGATGTTGTTTACTTGTTGTTCTCGTTTTTACATTTCTTTTAGTATTAAAAAATACAACTTGTTTTCAACACACACAGCAATGTAAATACATATGTAAATATAAATCGAAGAATCTCTAGAAATATTTTCAGTTTGAGGAATGTGATGCTAAGCGATAACACACATACGAGAGAGAGAAGATGGTCACGATGAAGATGTATATCTGATTGGTCAAGGCTTCAGAATTTATGCTTTTAATTTTTGAATTGTTGTTCTGATTTGATGTTCTCTCGCGGCACACTCATCGGAGTCATGACTCAAGTCACTCAACTGTATACTGTTTGATGGAACCCGGAACACTTTTTAGTTTAGTTGTTGCTTTTATTCTATTGTTTTTTTTTAACAAAAGAAATACATTAATATGTAGTACATAGCTCATACAAAGTGGTTTTAGGAGTTGAGTCAAAATACATAAATAGAGGAGTTTGTAGACCATCACACAGGGTAGGGCATCGAATTTTCAAAGCCTAAGGCCCTGATCCCTTATCAGCGCAATCAGTGCCCGTATTTACTATATATTTAGAAGATATTCATAGCCTCCTATAAAATGGAAAAAATATTTGAAGAATAGATATGCCCATGTATGTTGCATGTAATGTTATTGTTGTACTTCTGCTCTACTACTAGAGAGAGAAAGAGAGAGAACTAGGCAGAAAGCATGTGCACTATGCATCATTCAAATATATGCTAGAGATACTAACAAGCTATCTACACGCGAGGCGTATTATTGTAGCGCTCATATCGTTCAGTGGTCTCGTAGACCCTCTTTAGACTTTTGACGATGTATTTCCACACCATCTGTATGACACTATTCGCCAGCTTAGTCTGTGCAGTTTCCGTGAGTCCGGCTGAAGACCTCGGACGTGCGATAAAAGACAACTCGGATGGAATATTGGTACTTAGTGCAGGCCAGTATACCATCGATCCAATTACTTTGACAAACGATTTGTCTATAGTAGGTGATGAAGCAGGTGGGACAGTACTGAGAATAGATGCAGCCTCGGCAAATCCGTTCACATATGCTTCTGAGCTCCGAATACAATTTGCAAATATTACACTGAAAACAACAGATTCATCATGCTCAATTCTAAACCCCCACGAAGACCATGTACTCGATGCGAGTATCGCACATCATAGTATACAAGATGGGACGATAACTATGATTATAGATCTAGGACCGTGGTTTGGCACGCGTCTACTAGAAGACATTTTGATCAATGAATGTTCGCTTATTCATCAGCTTAAAGTAGGGGGAAACACACCTATATTACATCTCACGTCCCATTGTCACGTACAATTGGTGGCCACTGTAGACCTTAAATCACTTTCCAACTGTGGTGTATCGTCAGAAAGTACAGACGAAGGTATTGTGTATCACCTTGGGCTACATAACTATGTGTCGGAAATCTACGGCAGCTTCCCGCGAATCATTGATGCGACCACATACATCACCGCACAGACCAATGCTGTGGAGCATACACAGTTGACATTGAGTTCTACGGCATTCGGTGAGAAAACGCTCGAATGCACTATTGAAGAACGGATCCAAGCCTACAGGAGTAATGAAATATCAACCAAAAGAAGAACAGACATTGAACTAGCTTGCAAAGTAGTGGGAGCTAAAGCATATATAATCGAGAGTGGGGGTGGTGATATACTTCGCGACAGTAAATTGTACTCCCCAACAGTTAATGATAACCCGGTCCATGGACGATTGAGAGTGTTGCAAGCGGGATCGACGAATAGAACGGGTTCTATACAGACGTCATTGATTCATGCGTCTGCTGGAGATGCACTGGCTGGTGTGCCTGTCCAGCTAGTAGACAAAGAAAGCATCATTGTCGACACTGTCATCACCAATGAAAAGGGAAACGTGCTGTTCGAAGGTATATTGTATTCTTTATGCATGTATTTTATATTTTGACAGGTAGATGGTCTAGCATTGCATACATGGATCATCTGAAAATGAAATAACTCAAAAATCCCCTACGAAAGAAGTTGAATTGTTTTTAATAGTCATTTTTGCACTACAGACACGGACACACACGCACACACACACATACACACACACACAAATAACACACACACACACACACACACACACACACACAC